ATCCCTTTCCCCTCTTGTCTGAAATCAATAAAAAACATGTTTTTTAAGTAGTTCGGTGTATGCTATTGGTGTATGCTATTGGTGATCGGAATGTCAAGACAGGATGTGAGTGAGGTGGCCGTGTGGGGAATATTCAGTAAGGAGGGTGGGCTCAGATGGACTGATAGCGCTTTGCTTTGTAGAGAAAGTCAGGAGAAAGAAAACGGAAGCGTCATAATGAAAGGCTTTGATTCAAAGACAATGGGCCAGGAAGCGTCTTCTGCCAAAGAATACGCCTGCGATGCGATAGTGAGAGCCGCCACGTGAGGAGGGCGTGCGGCACCAGGTCCCTGACAACCATGTCCCATGCGACCGACGTGATGGACAGGCATTTCACCTTCACAGTGACCCTGACCCTCTCGTGGCCCCATTTAAAGACAGCGAGCCTCAGGTTCAGAGGAGGAGGAGCTTGCCCAGCGTCACAGTGAGCAGCGGCGGAGCTGGGATCCCACACAGCTCCCTGGGACCCCGGAGCCAAGCCCTTGACCCGGCCTCATGCTGGATCGCCACCCACAAAAGGACAATGCCTGAGCCCGGCCGGCGGGGCTCAGGGTTGAGCGTCACCCTATGAACCAGGAGGTCACGGTTCGATTCCAGGTCAGGGCACACGCCCGGGTGGCAGGCTCCATCCCCAGGTGGGGCGTGCAGGAGGCAGCTGATCCATGATTCTCTCTCCATTGATGTTTCTATCTCTCCCTCCCTCTCCCTGCCTCTCTGAAATCAATACAAATATTTTTTTTTTAAAAGACAATGTTTGAACACTGGTTGGTCACAGAACGCCCAGTCAGACCCACTCTGCTACAGGTTCCTGAAAGCTCCATCCCTGGGGGGCCCTCGTCTAGAGCGGGTGACGGTCTGGCTGAGAGAGCCCAGGTGCCTGCTCCCGTGACGTTCCCCATAAGCAGACTGCGGCGCCTGCTGGCGGGTGTGCGGACTCGGGGCCTACGGGGCTGTGGAGCCGCCACTGCAGGGCAGATGGTCCCGGACTATAACCTAGAGCTGCACGACCGGCAGTGAAACCCCCGAGCGTGCACAGGAGCAGCGCCGACCGAAGGCCCTGCAGAAACCTCACAGGCTCCTCGGCCTGACTTAAAGCAGGTGCAAGGACGGGGCCTGCAAACGGGTGACAGGCCCAACCTGCACGCCTCACACCGCTCTGCCACGGGACACAGGCCCCGGACCAGCCCTTCCCCACCAGGCCGTCCATGACATAATCCCAGCCGTGCCCCCGTGGAGCCGTGCGAGTCTGCTCTCAGGCCTGCGTCTCAGTCATCGGTTCATTATTTTCACTGTATGCTGAGTGTCTGTTATGCATGCGTCCCTGCTCTGCTCCCCGTGGGATCAGGAAAGGACAGAGGTGCCCTCCTCCTCCACACCTGGCTCCTCTGCTGGCCCGTGGCCCCGGGAGGCCCCCCCCACCACCACCACCCCGGACGCCGCGTGTGGACCCTGAGGCAGAGCCGGGCAGATGCCCACTAGCCCCCGACGCGGCCCGGCTCCTGCTCTCATTCCCGCTCCAGACACGCCGCCTCCTCGGACCTTCCTGCCGCCCGGTCTCCCCCTGCACAGGCGCTCGGAGAGGAAGAGGGGTCCCTTTCCTCACCCTCCAGCTTCCCTTTGGGACGTTCACGCCTCGGCCACTCCCCATTCCTACATCAAACACCCGTCAGGAAGCCCTGGTGCCACGCACTCACGTGGCTCTAGCTGGGCTCAGGCGGGCCGAGGCCACGTGGAAAATCCACGGACGTGTCTGGGTCAGTGACGGCGACAGACCCCTTCCTGCCTTGTGGGACGGTGGGCACTGGGCACACAGGGCTCTCCCATCCCAGCGGGGACCGGGCCAGGCCAGGAGGTGGCACTCAGCCCGGGAATAGCCTCTGCAGCCCCCAAGGGCCCCCCGCCGGCTCCGGGAGCCACAGGCAGAGCAGGTGGTCCCCTTCATCGGTTAGACACGCCCGCCCTCTGGGCTGGACACCCCCTAAAGCAGGGAAACGCAGAACCCCGCGGAGCACAAGTCTTTCTTGGCCACGGCTTGACCTTCAACAGCACTGTGGCTCATCCTGAGCCCGGAGGTCGCGACAGCCACACCTGGGTTCACACGCCATCGGATACCCACGTGGACCCGCCCATCCGGGCCTGAGGGCACGGTGTGCCTAGGAAACAAGGACGGCAGTGAGCCTGCGAGACGGAGCCTCCTGTGCTCGGGGAGGCGGACACAGAGCGGCTTTGTTCCCGCTGCGGCCGGGACAGGGCCCGCTCCCCTCTGCCTGCCCACCGTGCCCATCTGGCGCCACTTCTCCCACCCCTGCCAGCAGGCGTCAGCCTGAGCTGTCACCGCCCGGATGTGCCCCTGGCGTTCGAACCCCCGCCCCTCCTCACAGCCCCACAGCCAGTGCCCGGCCCTTCTCCTCTAGAACTAGAGTGTTCTCCGTTGTGCCCGGCCAGTGTGGCTCAGTGGTTGAGCATCGACCTATGAACCAGGAGGTCACAGTTCGAGTCCCAGTCAGGGCACATGCCCGGGATGTGGGCTCCATCCGCAGTGGGGGGTGTGCAGGGGGCAGCCAATCAATGATTCTCTCTCCTCATTGACATTTCTGTCTCTCCCTCTCCATTCCTCTCTGAAATCAATAAAAATATTTTTTTAAAAAAAAGAGAGAAATGTTTGTTGCAAGATAAAGCTCCCAGCATGTGAGGGCCACGCCTCAGCCCGAGCCTCCCGTGAGGAGGAGCAGACGCCGCAGAGGGAGGTGAGACGCGGCCTGTCAGGCAGGGGCGGCTTCCAGCCCAGCCAGCGCAGCTGGAGGAACCAAGAGCCGCTCACACAGCAGCCTCGGCCTCCACGTCTTCCGTCTTCCGCCCCAACCAGAGCTCGCCAGGACCCTCCTGTGACGCGGGGCTGACAGGTGGTATTTGTGAAAGGAAACGACGCGTGAACGTGGAGTCTCTTAGACCGGTCCTGCCAGAGGGATGAGCGCAAGAGAAGGTCAAGGTCAAGGATAAATTGCCAGCGCCCCCACCCACTACTGTTACCTGTTTCTATTTTATTTTGTTAAAGTTTTATTAAGTTTAAAAAATATGTTTTTATTGATTTCAGAGAGGAAGGGAGAGGGAGAGACAGAAACATCCATGATGAGAGAGAATCGTGCATCAGCTGCCTCCGGCACGCCCCACACTGGGGATCGAGCCTGCAACCCGGGCCTGTGCCATGATCAGGACTTGAACCCTGACCTCCTGGTTCATAGGTCGATGCTCAACCACTGAGGCATCCGGCCAGGCTGTTTACCTGTTTCTGGTCTCCTCCAGAACCTTCTTGCAAGTCACATCCTCCCTAAAGCAACTGATGCCAAAATCAGACGCGATCACCTGACCCCGTTAACCGAACCCTCGGGAACTCCGGGCGGAGACAACGTCCACTCTGAGACGTGAATGGGAACCCAGCTCGCGTGTCCCTGACGCAGGTAAAGAATCAGATGCCGACTTCCTGTCAGGAATGGGCAGGCGGAAGAGGGAGAGGCCGTCACACTGTTCGCCAAGAAGTGCTCACGTGGGTTTGGGTGTGAACCCAGAAGCCGCCCGCTCGGGTGCTGGTGGCTCCTGCGCTGACTCACGTGTCTCAGCCCAAACATGCAGAACCTCCGAGTGCTTCCAGCCCCGAGGCCGGCC